GTTTTTTGTCACTTTGAATAATATTTCTGTTCATGTTAAAAACAAAATCAACTCTCTGTATAAATATATCAGGTGACCGTTAAGGCCCATGGGCCTCTTGTTACCTATTACAGTGTCGAGTATCCCATTAGTTTTCATTTGCCTATATTTTTACCTATTACAGTACTGAGTATCCAATTAGCTTTCCTTTACCTATATTTTTACCTATTACAGTAGCGAGTATCCCATTTGTTTTCATGTACCTATATTTTTTGCCTATTACAGTTCCGAGTATGCCATTCGTTTTCCTTTTACGATGTTTTTCCCCTTCTCTCATTGTCATGTAGGTCATGTACAATATACCATGAATTATTTTCATGCATATATAATATTTTTTTTGATGCAGGTCTGTATGGAGAAAATGGAATACTGCCAGCAAAACTTGTTCTCCACGAAAGTATGTATTGGTTGAAATAAATTCTGGATTGGCATTTAGGGATTTCAATCATTTTTTTCCCCCCAAGAAAGTCTCATTGAAATTTTAAAGGCCGATGTAATAATATGTAATAATATGTAATACTTGCTGATAGAAAAAAACCTTTAAAATTGCAAAAACTGTGAAAAGATTTCTGTATAGCTATCAGTCGGGTTGGATATCTATTCAGTATGAATAATAAGATATTTTTTTTGTTCTTCTGCTTTTTTAGGTCACCTGAGCTTTGCTCAAGTGACCTATTCCAATCACTTTCCGTTGGTCATCGTCCGTCGTGCGTAAACTTTTTACATTATCAACTTCTTGAGAAGAACCAGTGGATGGAATTTTTTCAAACTTGGTCAGAATCATCCTTGGTAGATGAGGCTACCAAATTGTAAAATTGGGATTCCTACCCCAACCCTAGGGGCCAGGGCGGGGCCCAAAAGGGAAAATTAACCAATATTTCAAAAATCTTCTTCTCCAGACTCAGAGGTATTACAGTCATTTTCTCTGCATGGATGGAAAGATCATCAGGGGCTTTATTTAAATTGTAAATTTCAGGACCCCCGAGCTATCCGTTCTCCCTTGGGGAGGGGGTAAAGTTTACTATAGTTTATATAGGGAAA